GAGCCCATCGACCTGAACAAGACTGGCAGAACAGGCAGACTCCCTCGGAAGTGATCCAAGTCCTCTCTTGTCCACCTCATCTTACAGGGTACACCAGAGAGTTTCTCAACAATCAGTTTCTGTAGATGGGGGTAGAGGAGTCAACTTTTCCTCCGAAACTCATAATCCATTTTCCCCCTTTATTTCTTCTCACGTTAATTTTTAAGATTTACCAGAACCTGCCTCAAAGAAAGTCAACTTGAACTTCTCCCTGCTCCATGGTTAGGAGTCAGGACCAGAAACTAATCCAACGCCAAGGTCAACCTAGAGTTAAGGGTAAGACTTCATACAAAGGAGAGTCTTTTCTATGTCAACAACTCAAAAGTAATCATTTAAAAACGTGTATGCTTCCTCAGTAATTCTGCCACCCCTGGACTTCAGAAGCTCAACCCAAACTTGACTCAGATGAAGGATCTAGATTTCCAAATGAACTCACTGCAGACTGTGGAGTCTGGCTTTCTCTAGGATTCTGCCTCCAACGTTAAACAAGTCACCCCTATGGTTCAAAGGCCAGGTGACTAGGAAAGGCAGGGAGTACTTCATCCCTGCAGCCTTGGAGGCCTCCTCTCTTCCAGTCTGCCTCTGAAGGTAGTGCCTGCACCAGACCATTTCCTGCTTCTGCAGGTGTATTTACTGTGAGCATGTAAACTGAACCCTCCTTTTATTAACTCAGAAACCATTTAAAAAAAAAAAAAAATAAGGCCTGGGGCTGGAGAGATGGCTCAGTGGTTAAGAGCGCTTACAGCTCTTCCAGCAGACCTGACTCCAGTCCCAGCACCCTCAGCACCAGGGATTCAATGTCGATGACCTCCCTCCCCAGGCACCTACATTCATGTGCACACACCCACATACATCATATTTAAAAACACATACAATTTTTAAAGGCCTTTCTAAATCAACTAAGATAACACAGCCCTATAGGAAACCTCTGAGCAGCTAAGGAGAGGCTGACTCCTCACAGGTAAGGCAGAGGGATAAGAAGAAAGCCTGGGATACTTTTGAGTTGCTAATTGTTTCCTAAAAATCACAGTTTAGGCCTTAAAGACCAGTCAGCAATGCCCTCTCCATTCAGTTAGGAAAGGAAACTTCATGCTTTTTTTTTCCGGGGGCGGGGGGTGGGGGGGAGCTCTTAGGTGCAATCATTTTAAAACAAACAAACACACTCTGCTTATCTGTGTCTATCTCACCACTCTGGATGTTAATCATCACTGAAATAGATACCCTCGTCCTCCAGCCTCAAAGGGCTGCAAGGCTGCAGGACCGTCAAAGGAATGAGCCTGCATGCCAGGGCAAACACCTCAGAAGCTCTAGCTACTCCTGAAACCCCTATTGTTAATTCCAGGCAATCTATCCAGGGCTAATGTAAGCCCAGGCAAGTAACTGTCCATAGGATACTTAAAAGGAAATTCCCACCTGAAAATATGTAACACTGCAATAAAGAAGGGGTCAAGTAAGCTTTCCTGACCATGGAGACTGCAAGTACTATTTAAACGGTTTCTATGCAGAGTCCCCCTTTCTTTGCTCCTACTAATTATCCATATTAGAATTTAGAGACAGCCCTTCTGTTCCTCCCCAGCACAGCGTGCTTCTTGCACACGGCAGGCATCATATATGGACAGAGCTGGAGTCCACTGCTTTGTTCTTACACACTGAATTGGGTTAGTGCCCACCCCATTCTTTACTCAAAAGATCTCTATATGAAACACTGCCTTGATTTTTACTCTTATAACCAAGATATTTCTATTCCCCTAGGCTTCATAAAGCTTTCAAATAAAACTTATTTGAAATCAGATGACTAATTCAAACTACTTTTTGTTTCCTAAAAAAAGGGGGGAGAAGAAAAAAGAAGCCCACTTAGGATACTTCTTAGTGTTCCCTGGCAAGAGGCCTAAAGGGAAGCAGATTATTTGTTTGTGGTTTGTAAGTGGCTCAAATGCCTTCAAGCACAAGAATAAGACCATTCACAAATGACAAGGAGCCCAAGCAGTTCATCTTACTCAACAAAGCTATGATCAGTTAGGAAAGCTAAACTGAACAGGGCTGGCCCTGGGCCGGAAGGTCAGTAAACCTTAGCAGTTAGTGTTTCTAAAACTCAGAAGGCCCTTAAGCAGCAAGTGCAGTCCCTAAGCCCACAGGTTCTGCTGTCACGCTTGTGAAAACATTCAGGGCAGGTGAGAGAACCTGGATGTTGTGTGTGTGTTTGTGTGTGTTTCCTATCATCAGGCAGCAGTTCCCAATCAAACCATGTCCACTTCTGACATAGGCAGAATACAGGGGAGGCAAGCAGTTAAAAAAACCAGCTTAGGAAAGGCTCTCGAGCACTGGACACAATCATAGCTGGTTGGCCCCATTTTACTGAGCAATGCCATCCCTAGTCTTTAAGGAGATAAAACTCAAAGCCAGTGAGATTATGTGTCTTCTGAGAAAGTCGAAGTTTTGTACTGTGCTTATAAAGACATACTTGCTTATCCAGTCTGCAGTGAATTAGTCCAAAGCATGAATAACAGCCCAGGTTATACAGGGAGCTATGTTCTGCACTTAGGACGCGCTGAGTGAATTGGGGTACATACCTTATCTCTTCAGGGATGACAACTACCTCTCCTGGTGGTTTATTAAGTCTTTGCAGCTGTCCAGAAGCAGGTCACACTGGTAAATGCTCTCCACCTGCTGTAACAGGCATAATTTCTCCCTCTCAAACCAAAAACAGAGCAGTGACCCTGCTCTTTATCAAGTGCCACAGCAAAACAACCTCTCTGGAAAGACAATGCTTCATGCTTGGACACATACACACAAAATTAAAACGCACATATCTAATAATAGTAAAGCCATAATAAATACCATTTGGCAAACTGTACTAGAATAGAAGGAGTGAGTCAAACGAGACAATGGGGGGGGGGTAGAACTTACTACAGTAGAGGGCAGGAGAAGAGAGTGCCCTTTCAGCAAACACAAAACCCATGAAATACAAACACACAGGAACAAACCAGTAATAAATGATAAATAAAAATTAGATGTTAACTTTACAGTGAGCACAAGAATCCTTAAAAAGGCATAGAGTGGTTTTGGTCATAAACTGAGTATCAGTGGAGTAGTAATACACTGACATTTCAACCCAGCAATTATAATATAACCCTAGCAGATACTACACTCTATCATGGAGCAACACATTTAAAATGTTATGGAAATGGGAGACTACACCAGGAGAAGAAAGTGAGAGTTCAGATATAAACTGAATACACAAACGTGTGTGTGTGTGTGTGTGTGTGTGTGTGTGTGTGTGTGTGTACACTTAGTATACAGCAATGTAAGCTTCCCAAAGTGAAAGAGACGCTTAACAACTGGTGTAGCAATAACTAAGCAGCTATTTAAAGAAAAATATAGTAAAAGAATTTCTCTCCTTGCACCAAAACAAGTGTTACTGATGAAAATGCCATTTTAAAAAATCAAGTTATAAGAAAATCAGTTGGCAATCAAATTTGTCAGGTCTATGGAAGAATTAGAAATTTCTCAGGTTAAGGGGGAGGAGAAAAAAATTACAAAATTGGCAGATTCTAATGAAGTATAAAAGTTCTAATAAAAACAATAGAATAAAAAATTGACTGGAAAATATATCAAAGATGACAGACTAGAGCCAAACATTTATGACCCAGAAAAATTCCAAATTTATAACAAAAACACCAAGACCCCAGTAACAGAGTAGAAAGAGACACTCTCACAGGTGAAACCAACACATGGCAAAATATTTATCCTGGCCAGTGATGAGAGATACAAAGTAACACAGCTTTGGGTACTCTCACTCAGCTACTGAAGTTGCAAAGGTTTCTGGGTTTTGTTTTAATTCTCACATCAAATTGGTTCACTCATTCTTTGCTGGTATACCAAGACTTGATCCAATACCTTTGCATATCAAAACCTTTGTTCAATAATGCCTAGCTTGAGATTTTTATTCTAAGGAACTAATTCAAGACGGTGTGGCATGTGATGGCACTTCACAATCCATTACATTATGCATTAAGCACTCTTCTGTTAGGATGGGTAAGGGAGCAAGGGCAGGTTGGCAATTACGGGGATGTGCAACTGAAAAACTTTTTAAATGGACAAAGTTGTGTAGAAATGATTTCTTATGCAAAAAAGGGGGGGTGTTATCCTCCTGTATTACAATTGAGCAAGGGCAGGCTGCAATCTGAAAGCTTTTATCCTCACCTCTCCCCCGTGGATGCTCTCCCCTTCCCGTTTAACAACCTAAGTGTTTCAGGAATGTTTTTGCATTCACAGGTCTCAGACACTACTAGGTCAAACTGCAGGATCTTGGATACAGCCTACATCAGCTCCAACTTGTTGCCTCAAGCAGACATCTTTTGTGGGTCCTTCTGCCTGAATCAAGTCCTAAAATATGTTGACAGTGGGACTAAAAGCTTTTTTTTAAGGATCCGAGCCCTTTTCTGCATATTTGACTTTAGCTGAGCCCTGAAGCCTAACAACCTCGGAGAGAGTGGGCAGGATGAAAGGCCACAAAAACACGTTGAAAGACCACCTAGTGGGCCTGGGTCCGAGAACCAGCAGGCGTCGTCCTTCAAGGCCTGACGCACAGGACACAGACCTACCTAGTTGTTCTGAGCTGAGGAACCCAGAGAGTCAAAAATTTAGGAAAAGCCACAACTCACGAGGGCTGAAGAGTGTTTTAGGATGGCTAATTGTGAGTAGCCGCCCACGGGGGAGGGCGCTGACTGAGAGATGCCCTCCGGACGCTTCCTCGGGTGGGGGAACTCTTGAAGAGGGGTGACACCGGGATTCCCCGAGGGTGCTGGGGAGGGACCTGGGGGTGGGGGGAATGGAGTGAATCTGGGCTTCGGTATTTCGGGTGCCACACGGCCCCGAGCCGACCAGGCCTCGGCGCCCCGCCCTTTCCCAGGACGCTGGCCGGCCCGGGGCGGGGAGCGGGCGGACGAGCGGGCGCTTACAGGTCGGTGCCGAGCCGCGTGAAGCCGGAGTTGAGCGAGGCCCGGGCTATCCGGCGCCAGAGCAGGTCGCAGCTGGTGAAGCGCCGCAGCCAGCGGCACACCTGGGCCAGGCGCCCGAGGGCCGGCATGTCGAGGTAGGAGCAGATGAGCAGCAGCAGCTCCTCCGGCAGGCGCCAGAGCGCGGGCCCCGCGGCCGGACGTGCGGCCGGCTCCGCAGCCGCCGCCGCCGCCTCCTCGGCGGCCGCCGCCATGGCCGTCCGGGGCCCCGGGATGCCGCCCCACGCCCGACACCCACGCTCCCGTGCTCTCTCCAGGCTGCCGTCCTCCCGCCGCCCGGGCCCGACCCTCCGTTCCTCCTCCTCCTCCTCCTTCCCGGGCCCTGCGCTCCCCTCATCCCGCTTCCCCGGGCTTCCCGGCCCTTCCTCCACGCCTCCGCCTTCCTCGGCTTCCCGCCCCGGCCCCGCCGCAGCCTCCGGCCCCGCTGCCGTCCTCGCCCGCTGCAGGCCCGGCTTCCCTTCCGCCCCGCTTCCTCTTCCGCCGTGCCCGGTGCCCGCTTTCCCCTTCCCCTTCCCTCGCTTTCCCCGCGCGACCCTCGCCTCCTGCGGTTCCCTCGCCTCCCCGCCCTCGCCTTCCCTGGGCCCGCGGTTCCCGGGGGCACCCGAGCGGCCCTGGCTGCCCATGAGCGGCCGCGGGGCCGGCTCGACACGCAGCCGAGCCGAAGACGCCGCCGCCGCCGCCGCCGCCGCCTCCTCGAGAGGAGGCGACACCATGTCGGACCGGGTCACATGGGGCGGCGCGGGCCGAAGCCGGGACCCGCCCCTCGCGCCTGCATTTCGGGGTGCGAACCCCAACTTGAGCGCTGACATCCCCATCTTCTGGAGCACCAGGAACATCTGGTTGAAGCACATGTCTTCGAGACTCTAACGAGGAACCAAGCTTGGTGGCTCACGTCTGTAACCTTGGCGTGAGGGTGGCCATGAGTTCAAGGCCCGCCTGGCCTACAGAGAAAGATCCTGTCCAAATTGAAAAAAAAAAAAGGTCCCCATCCTAAGGTACAAGAGGAGCCTGTGGCTTCGGGAACCATCTAAGCGGAACCTCTGCCCCCCAAGAGGCACCTCCTTGCTTGGCCTTTTGGTTCTGGGAGCATCCTTTTCCCCAGGTGATGCCTTCTTTCCACAAGCCACAAACCAGACTCATAAAACTGCAACCCATAAGTTGCAAAGTTCCATTGTCATTGGTCTCACAAAGGATATGAACCAAGATCTGCCATTGTACCCGTATAATTAGACAATATCTGGGGAGGTGAAAACAGCCTGCTAAACCCTGAGTCCATGGCTCCCAGAGTCCATAGCTCCCAAACCAAGCAGCACATCAGACATAGCTGACCTAAGTCAGTAGCCGTCACACAGGGCAAGTTGATTCTCCAAGATTACATCCGATCCACTTCCCGTACCACCACTAGATCCACTTGAACCAATCTGGAAGGCTTTGGAAGTATAGACCTATGCTGTCCAACATGGTCTGTGTTGGTCCACTTTAATCACCTGTGGCTTCTGTGTGTGAAGGGCACTTTCTCCAGATTTGAGTATGATATAGGCATAAGCAAAATACACAGCTGATTTTAAAAAGCTAGACAAGAAAAGGAATGAAGTAGCTTACATAATTTTCTGTTACATATTGTTAGTAATTTGGACATACTGGAATGAATTCAGCATATTTAGTGTAATTGTTAGAAAACTCAAAACTGTATGCATGTCATATTTGTGGTTCGTGTTCTTTCTCTGTTAAACAGCACTTGGCTGCATAATAAGATCTGGAAGAGCCAGGCTTGGTGGATCATGCTTATAATCCAGCCCTGGGGAGCCAGAGGCAGGCAGATCTCTGTGAGCTCAGGCTAGCCAGGGCTACATCCTGAGACAAGAAAAAAAAAAAAAAAAAAAAAAAAAAAGATGAGCAGAGGAAGATGAGTGTCTCTCTTCCTGAAATCTGTGAAAGAAACAAGGTGTGGTGGCACACACCTGTAATGCCAGCACTTCGGGAGGCAGTAAAATCACAATTGTAAAGCCAGCCTGGTATGCAGAGTAAATTCCATGCCAGCCAAGGGTCCATAGTAAGACTCTATGTCTTTAAAACAACCCAAAAATCCATATAAGAATGACTGGAGAATTTTCTTTTGTGCTGACATCTTAATAGCCATTTTTAAGGAGCCGGAATGGATGAGACATTAATTCTGAAAATCATTGAAAAACCTAAGCATAGCCAAGGGGAGAACAAGGTAAGCCCCTTTGCTGAACTACAGGGCTGCAGAAGCATCATGTAACAAGGTCAGACCCGAATCTGGCTTTGCCCTAGAATTACTTTTTGATCTTAACAAAACAACAACAAAAACCCCGCCTCTCTTGGCCTTTTAGTGTTCTCAGTCCGTAGCAGAGATAAATGCCTCTGCTTTACTTTCGAAGGATAAATGAGATGATCCCTGTAAAATGCTTTGAACTCCTCTAAGAAAATTCTCAGTGATAGTTACAGGTCAAATCCTGTTACAAAAAAAACACACATGCACACATCCCTTTAAAAAAAAAAAAATGAACCAAAGGCTTTGTGCAGAGAACAGTTTCCCAACCCAAGGCCATGGTTAAAAAGAACATTTGGGCATGTTACTGTCTGGTAGGTAAATGAAGTGGTCCAAGGCACATTTCAATACAATCAAAGACTTTAGACCGTCTTTAGAGATCATTTCACTAAATTGGCGTAGTCTCAGGGGTGATGCTGTTAGACAGCAGTGTGTTAAGGCAGGGGCATTGCAGACTGAAGTGATGATGTCATTAGGTCAACATTTTGCTGCATTTGGTGCTATGAGCTGCTCTGACAAGAAGACAGAGCTGAATGTAATGTGTGGTCTCAGGACCCTATTTAAGTTTAAGTAATTTTAAGCTGTTGTTCACATATAGTATAGTTCATCCATGGTGGTTGTTCCTAGTGTTTCACGGAAGACTTAGAGGCAAATTTTTTTTTGTCTAACTAACCCAGTGAAACAACAGGATGAAAATACACAGTTAAATGAGTACATCTTACCAATTACCCATATTGCCTTCACGGATGACAAACTAAACTGTCCTTTAAAAGTATCAGATCGCAGAGGCTAAAGAGGGCTCACTCACTACAGTGTAGACCCGAGTGTGACCCCCAACCCCTATAATCCCAGCACTATGTAGGCAGAAACATGAGGCTCTCTGGGACCTAATGACCAGCCAAATCTGCAAGCTTTAGATCCAGCGAGAGAGCCTTTCTCCAAAATGAAGTAGAGAGCAATTGAGGAAGCCATCTGACATTGACCTCTGGCCTCCACACCTGTGTACACACACACACACACACACACACACACACACACACACACACACACAGGGACATGTGCACACAGACACATAAATCAAGTTGCCAGCCAGGTGTGGTACTACACACCTAGTAATCCCAGTACTCTGGAGGTGGAGGCAGATTTGGAGAGTTTGAATCCAGCCTCGGCTACCTTGTCAGTAAATAAATAAAAGTGTTTGGTTTTGTTTTAGAACCAGGGATTAAACCCAGGGCCTCACACATGATAAGCGGTATTCTGCTACTGTGCTATATCCTAAGCTCTTAATTAACTAATTAACCAAAATACCACATACAAATCAGATGAACTACTTGAGTTAGAATTGATGTCTAGGACTGGCCAGGTAGCTCGGTGGGTAGGGGCACTTGCCTCCAAGCTTGTAAACCTGAGTCCCACCTCAAGGACACACATGGAGAGAATTGACTCCCCAGGGTGTTCTCTGCCCTCCACACATACTGTCATTTCCCTGTGACAGTAATAACTTCATGTGTTGAACACGGTCAGCCACTGCCACAGGAACTTTCTGTGTATTGATATAGTGTCCTGTGTCTTCCTCCCCCTGCCCCACCATGGTTTTTTGAGACAGTTTCTCTGTGTAGCCCAGGCTGTCCTGGAACTCACAGAGATCCACCTGCCTCTGCCTCCTGAGTGCTGGGATTGGGGGCTTAAACCCTCAACACTTTAAAGGCATCTATAGGAACGAATATGTTCTTGCCAAAGGACATTGAACTAAAGTTTGGCAGCTCCTTCCTTGTGTTCCCACTTCATTTTCTTCCTTAAATTTAGTAACAATGGGCTGATGAGATTTCTTAGTGGATAAAGTTGCCTACCTCCTACCTCCAATCCTGATGACCTGAATTGGATCCCAGAGACCCACATGGCAGCAAGAGATAGTTGATTCCGAAGGCTGTCCCTCTGACCTCTACACACAGCCACGTCACATGCACCCACACACAGGCACAAATATCCTTAAACACTTATACATTTAGTATGTATTACATGAACTTTTTCCTTGCTTATTTGATTGGGGGAGTCATGAATGGCACAGTACATGTGTGAAGGTCAGAGGACAATTTGCAGGAGTCAGTTCTGTCCTACCACATGGGTCCCAGGGATTGAACTCCGGTTGTCCATCATGCTTGGAGGCAGGCACCTTTACCCACTGAGTCATATCAAGGCTCTGTGTGAACCATTAAAATAAATGTATCTCTGTGTATATATGCTAAAGGGAGTGTTTAAGAAAAATGCTCATGATGGTTATTTCCTGGTGATACAAATTTTGAATTTTATCTTTAGACTTTCTATGCTACTTGATTTTTTTCCCTGTAAGCATGTATCAACTTTAAGAAAGTCAATACACTCTTTAAAGAGAAAAATGGCATCATCGTGAGCACCATGTGACAAGGAGTTTGGAGATTTGAAAGTTAGGTCAGGGCCAGAATGTGTTTCTTTGTGGCCGTCATTGTTTGGCAGTTTTTGTTGTTTTTACTTGTTTTGCTTTTTTTTGGTTTTACGGGACAGGGTTTCTCTGTGTAGCTTTGATTGTCCTGGATCTCACTCTGTAGACCAGGCTGGCCTCGAACTCACAGAGATCTCTCTGGCTCTGCCTCCCGAGTGTTGGGATTAAAGGCATGCGCCACCACCGCCCAGCCAATAGTCATATTTTAAGAAAAAAGACCAAAAAAGTATTTACATCTAAATGTAAAATAATAATTAAATTGGTTTTTGTAGGTTTGTGTGTAACAGAGATTGAACTCGGGGCTCTGAGTTCATTAATGTTTAGAAGTTTATTTTACTGCTCTCCCATACAGAAGAATTCCAAATGTCTTTATAGATCTTTCCCTCTAAGAGAGAGAGCACAGCTCCCCACTCCTGGGGTAACCTACATGCTGACTTCCCTCCAGAGAATGCAGTGTAGGAAGGACAGGAGCCACTGTACTGAGGTGCGGCTTCAGTAGCGGGGTGAAGGGCAGTCAACAAGTCAGTTAATAGTGGACAACATTAAGGCAGGGAGGGGCGCAGGGCAACTCAGTGGCAGAGTGTTCACCTAAACACAAGGCGGGGCTCCATTGTCAGCACTGCAGAAATCAAAGGAAAACCAGACCGTAGGTACCTCTGTAGCCTTCCTCTCCAGAACTACATCCAATAACGAAGAAACACCATACAGCTCCCAACTGACGAGAGGTCTACAAAATACCTAACCAGCATCCCCTCAAAATGTTAAGATGATAAAAAAAATAAGGAAAGCCTCAGAGCCTGTCCCAGCTAACAGGGACCAGAAGAGACATACTGGAATAAATACAATATGATAGTCCAGATAGGGTTCTGAAGGAAAAAAAGAACAAAGACATGTGACTAAAACTGAGGGCATCTGGCCAGCCATAGTGGTGCATGCCAATAATCCCAGCCCTCAGGAGGCTGAGGCAAGAAGATCGTGAGTGTAAGTAAACCTCTATTTAAAATGTCTAGTCAGCTATAACTGGGAGTGTTCATGCAGTGTGAGAATACTTGTGTGACATGTAGGAGGCTGGGGTTCAGTCGATAGCACTGCTGGGAAAATGGAGGGCAGGGTCGGGGGGATGTCTCATGGTCTGGATTAACAGTTGGATTACACAGAGAAACCCTGTGTCAGAAAACAAACAAGAACCAGTTGGACTACAAACCTTTGTTTTCCAGGGTCTGCAAACACCATTCCAGGACTAGGGATGTCTGTCACTTGGTAGACCGCTTGTCCAGTATGCACAAAACCCTGTGCTCCACCCCCAAGACCACATAAACCAGACAGCTTGAGGTGACGCCTGTACTTAGGTGCAGCCCTGGGAAAGTAGAGGCAGTTGAATCGGGAGTTCAAGGTCATCCTAAGCTACACAGTGAGTTTGAAGCCAACCTGAACTATGTGAGACCTTGTGAGAAAGCAAGCAAGAAGTCATCAGTGGTGGTGCACAACTTTGATCCCAGCACTTGGGAAGCGGAGGTAGGTGATCTCTGTTAGTTCGAGGACAGCCTGGTCAACAGCTCAAGTTCCAAGACGGCCAAGGCTACGCAGAGAAACTGTCTCAAACACCCTCCCCCACAAAGAAAAGGAAGAAAGGGAGAAAAGAAAGGCAGGCACTATTTCAAGATATAATTCTGACTTTGCAGATGTGAAAAAACCCACATTTTTAATCATTAATTTTATATAAATCAGATCATATAGATGTCTTTAAATGTATGTAAGTGCACAGTGTCTGTAATCGACAGAAGGACAGTAGGGAAAATGCAACTTTGTAAGGAAGGAAAGAAAACTTCAACATCTTCAGGAAATTTGCCAGGAAAGCACCACTGCTGTGAGTCAGTCCGTGACGGCCTCCTTTTTGTCACCGAGGGATGCCAGCATGTCTTAAGTACACGGTCATGTTTAGCTCGAGGAAACCTATAGAAATACGTATGGAACCATCACAACAAGGCTTTAAACAAATTCCTGCATTACTATGTGGCATCAGATTTTATG